ATCCCAGCATTCAGGAAGCAGAGGCAGGTGGATCTCTGAGAGAAGGAAGCTGCCCTGGTCTACATAGCGAGTTCCTGGACAGCTGGAACTATAGGGAGACCCTGTCTCAAAAAAAGGTTTTATTTTTTCCTACAAAAGTAAACATCCTCTTTCGCCATCTGGTGGCCAATTACGTTTAATGCTTTCTGATTCATCTTACCAAAAAGATACATTTCCTTAAGCCATGTAAACGTAACTGAGGCAGTCTGGTTCTAATGGTTCACAGCACTTTACCCAAATAACCCAGCTATAGGATTTAAAGTAAGATAAAAGATTAAGCAGAAAAAGTCTTTGAAAAGATCATTTTCTGTACTGTTCATTTTGTACTATAAAATTAAATTTGGCAGTAACAATTTGCTCGGCCTGAATGCTTCTTTGTATAAGAAATTAAGAAGATTATAAAAAATTTAAAAAAGGTAAAAAATTAAAAAAAGATAAAACAACAACAATAACAGAACAGGAAATTAAGAAGATCCAAACATTCTTTTAAATGGTATGCATAACAATTTCAGAGGTTTCAGTTTTAGTTCTTACTATGCTAACCCTAGTGACATGTTAATTCCCCACAACAAAAATAAGAGTATATAATTTAACAGTATATGATTTAAGCTTTCTCTATTTTTTCTTAATAGAATGTTCGACGTATTATCAATACATTTGAATTGGTAAACCACCTCAATACCTTAACAAATTAAAATGACAATTATTTCACGTTTTAATCTCTTTATTTTCTCCAGAATATTTTGAGACGGAAACCCAAATTGTTAAAGGAAAAGGGGAGAAACATGGACAGACAGATGTTCCGCTTAACTTATGTCATCGTGAGCAGTCGCTTTTGTAGGCAACACTTTTTTTCTTTGTAAAAAAGAAAAAAAAAAAAAAAAAACAGCACCATTAAAGAACGCATGATCCCTGAATTCTAAACAAAACGCTGCCTAAAATCTCTTTAAATGCTTTTCGCAGTCAGTCACATTTAGTCAGGTATCAAAGCAAGCGTAACGGTATCAATTTGTAGCAGTCTTACTAATGAACCGCTTCCCCTTTTGAGGATTTCACACACCTTTCTGAGTTTTGTTTTTTTTTTTTCCTGTGGGAATAATATATTCTTTGGTAGAGGACTGAAGGAGGGTTACACTTTTCTGTATGCTGATAGGAAATGTCTGTGTCCATCAGGGCCTCGGCCCGGTCTGTGCGTGCCATGCATGTTGTGTTAGGGTTGACTTCACATTTTGTTGTTACTCTGGAGGAGTAAATCTGCCTTTGAAAAAAAATAGCATTACACCACTAATGTCAAACAGATGTAAACATTCAGAATACTGACCAAAAGAAAAAAAGTACACACACACTTTTTAAAAAAACGGTACTGAAAACGTGTATCAGGTTTCTGCGAAGGAGGAAATACTGCAGAATTGAACATAAGGACCGAGTAAAGCACTTTCTGAAACATTCATGAGAGGTACAAACACACAAGACAAAGTTTCTCGGGTCAAATTCTGCCACTATCAGAGTTCAAAGCGAAATAGTGTGTGCTATTAGGAAGAAAAGCAGCTCCTTTAAATCAGACTTGAAACGCCTTTTGTTCGCTTTACAGTGGCAAAGGAGGAGAACGAGAGGACAGGATTTCGTTCTTACAGTGGTATTTTGGCTACACAGGCCCCAGACAGTCAATGAGTTCCTGTCCTAGGACTCTTCACATTGTTCTTGGGGGACAAGATGGACCTTGAGTCTGAGCTCTGCATGTTCCATGGGGCTGGTACTCCCTGGCAGCTAGTGTGGCTAGCACCTGGGACTTCATCACATCACGGAGAAGCAGGGAAAGAGGCCACAGTAACTACCTCTTTTGAAATTGTGCAAGTGTTTGTAAAAGAACTGGGCCTGCAGCATCATGTATTTTTTTTTTCATTCTGGTTACAGCTACTTTCTGCATGTTTATTTTGACTGAGCAAGAATATCCAAGGTCCTGAAGTCAACCACGCCTCAACAGCTCACCCCAGAAACACACACCACTTCGAAAGTCTATAGCAACCTGGCTCAACCTCGTAGGTGTTCAAGATTTTCTCTTCACACTAGACCTCTGCAGGAAAAAGTATATATAACCATGGTGCTCCCTTCACCACATTTTTGTTATCCTCACATTGGGGAAAGAAAAACGTTTTCATTTTGAAAATGAATTCACATCAGAACCTTTTATTAACATGCCCATTAACTACCTAAATGTTTTATATACCTCAGGCATATGCATATCATAAAGGAAGGGACAGGGAACAGTGGTTTCCTCCCCCTGCTCCAAAAGTGCTACTTCCGGAATACATCCTTTGTGATTAAAAATAAAATACATGTCACATGTGCCAGTTCTGTTCCTGGCAGGGAGAGTATAGTGTCCAACGATCAGGAAAATGCAGACACTGGAGTTTACACATTATGTCACCGTAACTCTGTAGTAAATAACATCTCTGCACATAGGCAGAAACTAGAAACCAGGAAACTGGGAGGCTATTTGCCAAATTTAAGTATGCTGGCTTTTATATAAATGTGAAATGGAGACTTATAAAATACCCAGCCTACATTTTGCTTCTGAATTTCATTATTTTAATTTTGAACTGGGGCAGGAAAGAGCAAGGGTCTAAAAAATTGCATTCTTTGGACCTGGGTGATGTAATCCATGCACTATCAACAATGGATTCTGCAAAGCTACTACATGAATATCCAAGCACACAGAAGGACACTTTTCTTTCTTTCCAGGAAGCAATTGGCAGGCAGTATTCAACAAGGATGCGACTGGCAATGAGCTCAGTATCCCTTCAGCCTCAATGATACCTCACACACCGAGTGCAAAGGCTTCGTAGACTGGAGTTTCTTTAACATGTGTCAGGTACTGATGCTGTAGATCGGAATCTGCTGGTGTAGATAGTATCTGACACAGAATAGCAGCGATTAAATATGGAAGAAGTTGGCATGCGAGTGTCTGTATTATTGGGGTGCCCCGCTGTGAGGCTAAAAGCACAATCTTCAAAATTAAGATGGCATCACACCCAAACAGACCGAGAAGTCATCAATGATAATGACACCATCCACACCTACCCTGGACCCACCAGCACTAAGGCTACAGTCCTCAGGAAAGGGCTGGCTAAGGGCTTTGCTAACTTTCTCCATCATTTCCTTAGCTTTAAAGAGAAGAAAAGTCACGGGATGGAAGCACTGAGTCACGGTCACAAGCAGGCCTCTTTTTGCTTTTCTTTCTTAAGATGAAGGATCTTTCACCTTCAGCAATTTGCTAATAAAAATGATGTCTCTATCGCCTAAAGAAATTTGGCAACATCACAATAATAAATATAGAAGAAAAAACACAGTCGATTATTTTCTTTTAAATATGGTTTTCTTTCTTTCAGGAATGTTAACTTCTACCCATTCCAGTTAACTTCTAAGACGCAGTATTCAGGGAATGTCAAAAAGTGTACACCAACTAGAGTGATCCCACATGAAAATATGTTGCTCTTAACCCTGGACACAACAAATTTTCCCTTCATTTTTTGAAAATTCTACAGCAAGGATAATCAACAGGTCAGTGCGCTCCACATTCTGGGCTCCGAATCTGAAGGTACACGGGCTCTGAGTTCTTTTCATCTTCTCACAGTGTGCATGTGCTTTTGAGCTTGCTTTGGGGAACACAGCCACCTCTACCACCGCTGTTCTCCAGTGTTAGGGTGGCCAGAAGAGATGGAATGGATCTCAGATCCTCGACACTCAGACTTTACTGGATAAACATTGAAGATAACTGTAAGATGCAATGTCCCTTTTCGAGAGCACTTCAACTCTCCTACACACGAGGGCGAAAACCCAGTAAAACACGCAATAGGGCTTAAAAATAAGGGCTATCTCAGGCTCAAAGACAATTGTATAGACTGTGAATCATGAAAAAAATGGTTCTGAAAAATGTTAGCCTTCAGCCTCTGTAGTCCCTCCTATCATCAATGACACTTGTAAAAAGTGGTGGCCAGTCTCCACAGAAGGCCAGCTGCTACTGCCGTCATTAAAGAGGGCTACAGTCACCACTACCCCCAATTTCCATGTGATAACTACAGTGAATAGAACGGCTAATATTACACCGTCAACCCATTCATGCATCCATATACAGCATTTTGTCTGATTTTAATTTTAGGGCACTTTTTTAAAATATATATACTTGCTCTTAAAGCCACACAGGAAATTCCACAGTACTCTGGGCCTATGGCCCTCTGATGGCCAATGGATGGATGGTACATTATCCGCTCTCCAAGGGCTATCATCAGAATACTGACTGCATGAGGCCCTTTTGCCATTTCAGATGCAATGTGTGTGCTACTCTAACTTGTGCACAAGACTGAAGGCCAAGCCAGGTATTCTGTCTGTCTCTGGGCAACAAAGAGAGCTGGAAGAGCGGACTCCATTGAGGGTGAGCCTCCTTTCCTATAGCGTAAGTACAACGAAGCACATGTGTAAAGCAGCCTCGCATCCAGCTATGACTTTAGTCACTGTGGTAAGGGTTAAGTCCAGAAGAGCCACGGCAGAAACACCCGCTGCTGTAGCCAGTCTATGGGATGGTGCGTGACCAGCTTAGGCCACATTTACCATTCCCTTTCTGCATCTACATATATGGTAACTGGACAACTCAAAATGTCCTTTGCTACCTAGATCAGGGTAAAAGGAAGAGAAAAAAGCATGGGGTCATGTGCTGCATACACAGACAGAAAGATCCTGAAGCTATAAATACAACTGGACATAAAGAAGCCATTCGTATGGAAGGCATCTTCCCTTGTATGAGAAATGCAAGAAAACAAAACCCTAGAAGAAAAATGTAACCTTCTCCGAGGTAAAAGCAAATCAGCACAGAAACCAAAGCCTCCTTCAACTCCTACTGCCGATGCTGTTGAGCGTTTCCATGTCAAATAGATAAAAGGGACACTGCATCTTGCACTCAGCTCTTATCGGACAACCAGGCAAGCCACACAGAGTTTGGAAGGACCTATGCAGTCGTCGTGGCAGAAGGCCCCACAGCCCTTGCACACAATCATGGCTTTCAGCCGGCAGGAGCATTTCAGCTCTAATTCGTCGGCGTTGCTGCTGTCCGCAAAGTTCTGAACCGGCATCTGAGCGCTCTGACCTGCCAGGCCCGTGGAGGCGGGGCTGGACCCACTGCCCAAAATCCCAATGGACTTCTCAATGGCAGACACTGCTGCCCTTTTGAAGCTGGTGCTCCCAAAGTGTATGGTTGGGTAGTTTCCGCAGAGCTGCTGTTGCTGCGGCACCTGGATTTTCTGAGCAGCTAATTGGGTGAATGTCTTCTGGGGCTCAGAAAGCAAATAGGAAGAGAAATCTGCATTTTTTAAAGCAAATGCCTTTAACTGTTCTTTCATCTCATTTTGGTCATAGGAAACTTGTTTCATGCCCAGTTCACAGCTGCTGCTTAAGCCTTCCTCAAAAGAAAGGGGCTCCGATTTGATATTGCTACATATGCCCGTGGACTGGGGCCAACCGAGTCGCTTAGTGGTTTCCATGGTAACCGGCGGTTGCTTTTGCTCTGATGGGACTTCTGCACTGGTGGGGAGAGGTGGAGGTAGTGGAGGTGGTGGAGGGGGAGGTGGGGGCAAGGCTTTTTTTGGGGAGGGGGTGGCGGCGGCGGCAGTGGAGGATGGACTAGTGCTTTGCTGCCCATTGCAGTGCCTCCCCCGTCCTCTCCTTCCTTTATGGGCATGTTGGGGGATAACATGCTGGCTAGCCTTAGCTGGTGAGGGGCTGGGGGAAGACTAACATCTCCCAGTGCCTTTTGTTCAAGATGCCTATTGAAGGCAAAGGCATTACAGCCCACTGGGGTCTTGGTAGAGACCTGTAAGAGAGCAGCGGTGGGAAGGGGGCCCCTGGCAGCCATGGGCATTTGGTAGAACTGCTGTCTGTGTGCGACACCCCCGTCAGGATGGAAACTGCCATTTTTGTCCACGTGGAACACATTCTGCTGGAAGCTGCAAGCCGGCAGCAGCCGCTTCGGCTGTTTGACCTCGGAGCTGGGCACCATCCTGTTCTGCACCGAGTGTTTGTTGTGCTGCTCTTGTTTAAACGGCTGGCCGTGTCCCAGCTGACTCACGCCCGGGTTGAGGACGCAGGGCACCGATTTCACGTCGGGCTCCATCAACATCTTCCCCGGCTCACACTTGACTTGGGTGTGCTCCCCCACAGTCCTGGCTGGTCTCTTTTTGGGGTGGCTTTCTCGCTTCCTCATTTGGAGTGGTGCCGGTGTACCTGCCGGGTGGCCCTTACCGTCTGGATTTGGAGAGCTGGATGGCATTTCTACCACGCTCCTCTCTGGCCCTATTTTACCCACTGAGGTAGCTGGAAGGGGCAGAGGGAGCCTGTTGATTTCAAGCTTGGCTCCCAATCTGGGTTGTGGCAACACCTTTTCCAGAGGTAGGTTGCCCTGCAGTAACTGTGTCACCAGGGGGTTGTTGGCTTCCACAGAGGACAGGCGACAGCTCGAACTCCCCCCACTGGGAACTCTCTTCAGGGTGTCTGTAGCTAAGGAAACAGCTTCTTCTATAGGACTTGAGATGGCAGGCTTCATGGCCTGGGTCTGTGGCCCACTAGTGCTGTTTGTCAGCTCTGTCGCTGGAGGGGGCCGTTCAGGGCTGGGGAAGTCCTCAGTGTCCATAGTAAAGCCCTTGTCTACTTCATGAGGTTCAGCTTTCACAGGAAGACTGGCATTCGTGATGAGATTTCTAGGGTGCATTTCAGGCATGTGTGTGTAGCTGGCATGCTCCGGTTTGATGGCCTTCAGGCCACTCTGTTCTTGGTATTCTTTCTGTTTACCTGAACCCGAGTGACTAACCACAGGCTGTCCCGTGCGCCTCATCCCATCTTCGCTCCAGAAAATCCGGCTTCCTGGGTTATAGGGATTACTGCAAGCTGTGTCCGCCTCACTTTTGAAAGCGCTTGAGCTCCGTGCCCGCTCAGCGAAGCTCTGAGTAGACGCAGCAGCCTCGTTTGGTTTATCTGCAACAAGAGGCAATTCTCGGAGACTGGTGCAGGGGGCCTGCAGTGGCTTACAGTCCTGTTTGGCTGTAGAAGCAGTGATAAAAACAGAGCCATTATCAACACCGTCGCTTGCTACCTGCTCAGGCCTGCTGATGACAGATACCTGGGGACAGGCCACCGACTGTATGGGTACCTCTGTCCTCACTGACCTGTTCTGCGGATCCGTGCTTGCTTCTGCACTTTCAATGGACACAGTCAGAGACAAACCGGAGGTCAGTGTGGTAGTGTGGTCAACAATGACTTTGCAGGGGATGGATCTGTTGATGGACGCTGGGGCAAAGCCCCCTGGTGGCTGCTGAGGTTTCCCAGAACTGTCCACCCTGTTCCGAGGCCCTGGGTTTTTGTCCAAGCTTTCCATACTTAATTTGGGAGGACTGTCATACGAGTTTATAGTGAGCGTGTTTCCAGTAAACATTGCGACGGGCGTGCGTGCAACCAGCGCGTCTGTGACGGCCACCACATCGCTGCAGCTGAGGGGAGCTCTCACAGTGGTACCCATGGACACGGTGGCCTGTTCTTCACTCCCAGGAATGGCTATCTTCTCTGAAGCAAATCTGTTAGCAATTCCCGTGGGGGGAATCAAGACAGAGCTAGAGCAGAGATGGTTTGGCAAGCTATTTCCAATGGTGGGGGCTGGCACGGACGCATACTGACCGGACACTAAGTCAGCAGCCTTGCTGCTGGGCATAAACAGGGCCTTACCCTCTGTGGAACTAGATCGGTTGGCGCCCTCTGGAACGGCTGGAATAGAAGTGCTGTCGAGACATTTTGGTACAATGGCTATGCATGGCGTGTCAGATCCCTGGATAGTTTTCAACATGCTTATATTACAAGCAGAAATCGTACTGTTTGCACTGTCAACAGACATGAGGACAGAAGGTTTGTCAACAGAATTCACAAAGGGATGTTCTTTAACTGCTCCCGACGCGGCAGTGCTGCAAACAGACATAGGGGTGGGATTTTTATTAAAAAGCATGGGCACACTGCTATTTTCAGAAGAGGTAGATGAAACAATTTTCTCAGTTAAATGCGACACAGGTATGTTTTCATCAGAACTATGCACAGATAAGTCAGTGGCGGTTTCTGGAAGTTGAGGTGGGTTCAGAGGCTGCTGTGATACAGTGGTTGTCTCCCGGAGTGCCGGCTTGCTGCTAGGAGATCTGCAGTTTGGATTGACGATAATGACACCAGTGGAACCTTCTATCTTTGTTTCAGGGGTAGAAGAGACCTCCGAGTTTGGAGCATCTTCCTTGGAGCTAAGAATAGGCATCCGGGATTCTTTAGAGGTCTGGAAGAGGTGGGCTCGGGCCTGGTGCTTTGCAAAGAGCTTAGCTTTGGTCTGCTCTTTGATGTGGGCCAGGGTTCTAGCCTTCCCGCCCTCTCCTGGGCTTCCCATGGCCCCTGAGACGATGCTTGCTGCGGCTGCAACGGCAGCAGCTGCAGCAGCCTCACGCTGGGCTCGGGCTTGTTGGGCACGGGCCTTGATATCTGCGAGGGTCCTGGCCCCTGTGTTCCTTCCACCACTGACAGAAGTGCTGCTGGACGCTCGGGACTCCGGCTTGGAGACGGGCTGGCTCTTGATGATAAATGGGGGTCCAATTTTGGAAAGTTGTATCTAAAAGAAGAGAGAATGGGAGGATAAAGACTTCACATTTGACCACTGAGGAGGCATGTGGGGTATGGTCATCCAAGGGGAAAGAGGAGGGTAAGGAGTTCAGCTCAGCTAGTGGAGTGCTGGCTGGTACGCATGAAGCCCTTGGTTAGAACCCAGTAATCTCAGTGCTCAGAGGATGGAGGCAGGGGATCAGATGGTCAGTGTCATTCTAGGCTACATATTGAATTTGGTTTTTGCTTGTTTGGTTTTCTGTTTGCTTCTTTGTTTGTTTTGAGACAGGATCTCCCTGTAGCTCCAGCTGGCCTGGAACTCACTCTGTAGATCAGGGTAGCCTAGACCTAACAGAGATCTCCTGCCTCTGCCTCCCAAGAATGCTGGGATTAAAGGCATGTACCACCATGCCCAATTTATATAGTGAATTTGAAACCAGTCTGGGCTACAAGAGAACCTGTGTTCCTTAAACGGTGGTGGCGATGGTGGGGCAAGCTGAATTCTGTTACAATGTGGGTTAAAATACAGCTGAAACTCTGAATGGTCATTTATGATAAAAAGAAACAATAAATGCAGCTTGAATGTGAAAATTAAGCTTGTCATCTATAAAAGCATCAATGAGTGATCTCACTTAGTATGGGAGTAAAGCTAAAGCATATTCTGAAAGTCTTATGTAAGTGGAACAACATATCATAATTCTGAGCATGAGGTTAGCCCACACATGGTAGAACAAACATGTCATTCTAGCTCTCAGAAGGTTAAGCAGGAAGACTGTGAGAGTTCGAGGCTAGCCTAGGCTCCATGCTGAGTTCCAAGCCAACCTGAGCTATACAGTGAGACCCTTTCTCAAAAACAGATACATAAATAACAGAGGCAAATAAAAGATTAGGAAAAAAGACTTAAAAATCTTTAGTTTTAAAATTATAATCCTTGGTGGAAAAAAAATGATCCAAATGTGTTTCATTCTGAATTTAATCCATCTTCATTTCACCCAAGGTGAACAGCCCTGGCCAAGATACCTATAGACTAGAATTACCATCCTGGTTTTATACAAAGGTGCATTGTGATCCTTTTTTAAAAAAATCTTATTATTTTGATTATTTTTGTGTATGAGTATATTGCCTGCATGTATATGAGTGCACCCATGTTGTGCAATGCCTGTAGAAGTCAGAAGAGGACGCTGGATCCCCAAGAATTGGAGTTAGACAGTTGTTAGCTGCTATGTGACTGTTGGGAACAAAACCAGGTCCTCTGCAAGAACAGCCAGTGCTCTTGACCATTGAGCCATCTCTCCAGTCCCGCACTATGATCCTTGTAAGTACCAGCGTGACTCAGTTCCTCAGTTGCTCTATGATCTGAAGACTGTATGGTTTTGATGGATTCCCATAACATTTGGCATGCTGCCATACATGTGTAAAATAGGCACACTATGAAAGTTTGTAAACTCAGGTGTCAAATGAAATGAGGTATTTCTCGTCTATTCCCTCAGAGAGCCATTGTGTAGCGGGGGGACACTGTGCTTGTAAGAGTGCTCTGTATTAACATGGTATTTCCATCAAAGCAAGGATAGGTAACTTTTTTCTTTGTCTCTGAAAGAAAATGCTATTTGGGCCACTCCTTTAGGCATTAATCTGCCATCGGTGGTTTATGTTCCTTTCCCAATCTGCACACTTCACCTGCTCATGGTATTTCATAGGCTAACAAGGTCACTGACACATTTGGAAGGCACAAGACCTAATACGCAGCATTCTATGGCAAGACTGGGATGCTCTTGTCACTAAGAGCATCCTCAGAATCACAGGACTGTTGCTGGAAGGGCTCTGGTTACAGTCCTCATTTCAGAGCTGGAAAACCTGAGCTCATGAAGGTTGAGTCACCTGCCCAGGGAGCCCAAAACCAGTCAGCGACAGTTTGTGGACTTGCAACTCTGCTGGCTCACAGGTACTCTGGTCCTTCTCCCCACTCTAGAATAAGCTTTTCTTAGAAAAAAAAATCTCTGTCTTAAAAACATATTATATTTACACTGCAACTCTTGGCAGGCACAAGCTCACTTCAACCTGGAACGAGGCTCTGGAACCAGAGTAGAGCAGTTTATCTTCCTGAGAAATCTTCTTTCTAATTTTAAAACTGCTTATAAAGCATGTCCTCTGATCCATGGCCAAGAAGCAGCAATTGGCAAAAGGATTCTTTTTTTGTTTTGTTTTAAATCTTTCCCTTAGTCTAAAAAATTAAACACATTAAATATTATCCCTAATCTGCTTCATCAAGAGCTCAAAGCCAAATTCAAAATTTGTATTTAGTTTACATCCTTCTAATATATACATACCATCTAATATATAATATATACATACCATCTATCCATTTACCAATCATCTGTCTGTCTGTCATGGATCTATCATCTGCCTACCTGTCATCTAGCTATTTAGCTATCTATCATGGCCCTATCTACTCATCTATCTATTCATCTATTATTCTATCTATCATCTATCTATCATCTATCTATCATCTATCTATCTATCATCTATATCTATCATCTATCTATCATCTATCTATTATCTATCAATCATCTATCTATCTATCATCTATCTATCTATCTATCTATCATCTATCTATCTATCTATCTATCTATCTATCTATCTATCTATCTATTCTCTGTCATCTATCCATCATCTATTTGCCTACTATTCTATCATCTACCTATAATCTATCATCAATCTTTATCTATCTGTCATCTATCTATCTGTCATTTATCTATCATGTATCAGTCATCAAGCTACCTACCTAATCTATTAATAAATCTCAAAATAAAGGGCATATTACTTTGAAAATTAGCTGCTGATTAAAAAATAAGGCTGGAAGATCTAAAAAATACTTCCTCCAGCAAGCACATTTATATTTTTCTATGTTTTAGAAATTAGATGGCACACTGAGTTACTAATTTGAGTTTACTCTTCACCTTTTATATCTCTAGAATCTTCTTTAATAGACCCTGCTTCAGTATGTAGAATAACTGCAACCACGCTCTTAAATTCAGCCTTGTGAAGATCCTGAGATACCTATAAAAATAGGTACCACAGAGCAAAGTAAGAGACTTGTGTAAAGCTTATGATGTTGATAGTGCTACATTTATGTGTGATAGAGAAATAATCCACTGTATTGTGTAGGTACAAATGGACTTAGGTTGAAAAAAAACCAAACAAATAAGGCCGGGGGGGGGGGGGAGGGGGGTGCATGCCTTTAGTCCCAGCACTCAGGAGGCAGAGGCAGGTGGATCTCTGTGAGTTCAAGGCCAGCCTGGTCTACATAGTGAGTTCCAGGTCAGCTGGAGCTACAGGGAGACCCTGTCTTAAAAAGACCACCCCCCCAAAGTGCCAAATAAATGTAAATGGCAGAGTGTAGCAAAATGTATAATCAGAGATTTATTTCAAATCAACCAATTTAGAGTTCACCTAGACATGTACAACCAACCTAATTGAGAAGTATATTTTGAGAGTTAAAATTAACCTAGGTTAAGAAAACAACAAAATGGTAAACAGTGTTCTCTGCCCATAAAGTGTTATAATTTTATGAAGTTTGAGGCCTCTTTACTATCTTAGAAATAAAATCTAGGGTTTATTTATATACATCTATTGCATTCTCTCAGTTCATAAAGCAATTTTATTAATTTACTCAAGAAATATTTAACAAGGCTCTGTAAGTCAAGTCCCTTCTGCCTCACAGTGGTAGTGGGCGTTTACTGTTGGAAAATAAACCCAAGATTAATATACACCTTTACCTCATAGTGACAGCTCGACTTTTGACTCATGTCCCTAAGCCCGGTAAAGTTTATGGAGGACTCTGTGTCATCTTTCACCTTTCCCAAAGTTTCTTATTTGTGCCTTCGGTCCTCAAAAGTCCTGATAGCTCTGTGACTTGTAAGAGTCTCCAGGCCCTGTTCTCAGCTCCAAATTTTCTTAAATGCTGATGTGAAAACATATACATGTATTAGAGCTTCTCACATGGGCTCGATGCACAGATGTTTAAAGATTTTATTTTTAACTAATGTGCACACCTGTGTGCTTGTACAAGCTTATCTGCACCTTGTGCATGCAGAAGCCCAAGGTGCCCAGTGACCTTCCAAATCCTCTGGAACTGCAGTTATAAGTGGTTGTGAGGCCCTTGATGTAGGTGCTGAAAACCAAATGTGGGACCTCTGTAAGAGCAGCAAGTGCTCTTAACCCTGAGCCATCTATCTAGCTCTCTCAATACATAGTTTTTTAAAAAATAATTTAATGTTAGACTGGGTACTTGACAGAGTAGATCATAGTTTGCTGTATGAAACCTAGAAAGAGAAAAATCTAATTAATTATTGAAGATCAAGTTTCTAAAGAAGGGGAGTGTGTCTATGGAATGGTCTCTGTTTGAAAATGCCATACCTTATCTGGTGTGGTAGCACATACCTCAGTAATTCCAGCACTGAGATGGCAGAGGTAGGCGGATTGCTGACAGATCAAGGCCAGCCTAGGGTGATGTACATAGCAAGTTCCTGGGCTACAAAGGAACACTGTCTCCAAAAACACTGTACCTTGAGAGGGGGAACCCTGGGCTCTTCTCTCGGAGGCTGCTCTTTCTCCGGTGGACTGCTGGATGCTTGGCCCCGGGTTAACTGATCGTCTTCTATCCTAGCTCTTTTCTCCTTACAGATTCCAAAGCTGTGCTCTGCAGTTTTCCTCTTGGATATCTCTGGCTCTCTACTTTCATTCCTTATCCCATCAGGTGACTTGGAGGGCTCCAGAGTTTTGGAGGTATGTGAGGTCTCCAGTCGATTCAGTGTGGCCACTTGCTTATGTGTTTTATTTCTTGAGCCTTCTAAAAATGGAGCCTTCTCTGCTGAAGGGACAGACTGCTTATCCTGTAATTTAGCTGATGGAACCTCATTTCCCCCAGTCTCTGTCTCTTCGGAAAAGACAGACGCCTCCAGCGGCGAGGACACCCCTTTCTTTTCAGTTCTTTGCAGGACACTATGGTTTTTAACTTTCATTATTTCAGTAGCAGGGAATTCTGGGACCAAGGGAGGATACAGCTTCACGATTTCAACATTAGACTTACAAGGCTGCTGACCCAGAGTTCGACTGTGTAGTTCTTCAGGTGGACAAGCTTCAGGCACGGTAGAAGAACTCATGTTGATGGGTTCAGGAATAGTGGACAGAGGCTTTGGCTGGCAGGTAAGGTTCTCTCCCAGGGGCTTGGTAGGGGCACAAGGTTCATCTTTCTGTGGAGAGAGTGCTTCGGATATTGAAGGTGACTTTCTCTGTTGATGAACTGTTCTTTCATTCATGGAAGAATTAGAAATCGGAGATGTCTCCACGGGAATTGGCAAACTAGATATAAAAGGTGTCTCAGAGGTAAGAAGCATGGAAGACGCTGAACAAGTCTCTGATGTCAATGGTAAATCAGACATTGGGGATGCCTCTGATGTCAGAGGTAAGTTGGATACTGGTGATGCCTCAGATGTCAATGGCAAGTTGGACATAAGAGATGCGTCTGATGTCTCAGGGGAGGGGGCCAGTGGAGATACGTCTTCTGACATCAAAGACGCATGAAGGCTTTCATCAGTGGGATTCCTCTGGTTATATTTGTCCGTATTGTCGATGCTGGACACCTCAGAACAGAACGTTGTTTCCAGGGAAGCAGGAGTACATGACTCTTCAGATGTAGACTGTGTTTCCCCACCCGGGGATGGAAGGCTGGCACAGCCTCCCTCTGGGCTCTCAGAAGAGAAGGAAGTTTCAGAGACACAAGCATTTTCTGAGAGCTGTTCCTCGGGGTCACTCTGGAGCTCCATATCCACAGCTAGTCCTTCATTTGAAAATTGGCCTTCTAGAGAAGACGACCCTGTTTTGATGTTGAGAGTACTGGTCTCTATTGCAGTTCCTTGTTCCTGATGTTCTCCATCAAGGACATGAGTCACAGATGAAGCGGAAGGACAAAGAGCATCACACACTTCTAGTTGATCAATAACAACTGACATTTCTTCCTGGGGACATTCCAATTTCTCATCTATCTTAACATCAATATGAGGTAAAGTTTCTAAAACATCATTCATCATAACACAGGATTCCAAGTTATCTTCAGGAGCCACGATTTGGGGCTCTTCACGAGAAGTGGCTGGACTTTCAGACTCCTTGGAAAATTCAGAAACAGACTTGTGATTTTCATCTTGGCATTCATAGATACTGGTCTCTACCTCTTCTGCAACTTCCTCCTGAATCACAGACTCCTCAGGGATCAAGATGTCCTCTGTTTCTGATTCTGTCATCACATCCTTTGATGGAACCTCTAACATAGGACAAATGGTGGCACAGAAATCAGGCTCCAAAGAAGCTGAACTCTTCATGTTTTGGGGTTGTTCTTCTCCATGAGTCTGCACAGAAGAAGCTGGAGGGCCAGTGGCCCCATGTGAAGAACTTCCTTCAGCTCCACCGTGGTTTGGTCCAGAAGTTAGCTTCACAGATTCCTCTCTGGACATGCCCAATCTGAGCAAAAATTAGAGACATTAAATTATTGCTAGTCACAAAACAAAAAAGGCTCAAAAACTGGATTTCTTACAAGGTCAGTTATCAAGAAAAGTGGTTATGTCAACTTAGTCATGTAACCAACTGCTAAGCAGCATGGTTAATTTATGTTAAATAGTTCATGATATATAGTTTCAATACACTGCTTATAACTTTAAAATGCTATAGCTAATTAAGAAAGAGGTAGATTTTTATTTTGCAAGCAAGGAAATATGAACCTTACCAGGTATTAGTTAAAGGAATTTGAACGTTACAAATAACAAAGAATCAGAAAATAAGGCCAGAAAATCAAAAGGATGTATAAAACTTAAGTCTTTTTGAAGTTAGAAGGGAGAAAAGATGCCTGTAAAATAAAAATTACACAGACTCTAGGATATGCAATGTAATTAATATGAATGGAAGATTAATAAACTATATCAAATTCTAAAGTTGAAATGACTTCCAAAGATTAGTTCTCTTAAAAAATGCTGCTGCTCAATAACTTTATCTTAGCATCTAGGTGTCTAATTAAATATTAAAATTCCACTAAAGAATGATAAAGATGATTTGTATAGCCCTTTCTGTAAAGAAATTCCATACAGGGTATCAGAGAAAATCACAAGATAAGCCAGACTAAGCCCCCACACAAGGCTAATCATAATTAGAATTAAATATATGGTAAGTCTCTGCTTTGTCATATTAAGTCGCAGTAGTACCACCAGCAGCAGATAGAGAAATGTGCTGTTATAAGTAAAGTCAAGTTAAAGTGCAGGCGATCACAAATCCTTCATAGAGTATGGAGTCTGCACAGTGTAAGAATAACAAAATGTTAGTTAATGAAGTACACAAAATGTGTCCGTCATCTAATATGAAATCAAAGATAATAAAGAGCAAAGGAAATGTCCAGTGATGTCGTGGGGTAAAAACAAACAAACAAAAACACTACTAATGACCTACAGAAAAGAAGGGGCTAGAACATGAGAACATGAACTTTAGCAGTCAGAGCTGGATAAAGGTGGTAGGAAGTCGCTTTCGCTCGTGGTATTGAAGTAGTCACCTTCTATGTCAAAGGCTCTTCCTCTGATGTTCTGGTGAGTTTGTGAAACATCCAAACTTCTCGTGAAAAAATGTGCATGTTTGTGAATTTTCCTGAGGATTACTTTTGAATTAGAACTTTGAGTCGCTTACTGGCCCTCACTGTGTGAACTGAGAAAATTACTTAGATTTAATTTTTCTGTTTTTTATCCTCTTTGTAATAATACTAGGAACAATATAGACATGTGTACATTTAGAATTGTTGGGAAACAATTCAGCTTGTGGCACCTGGGAAGAGGGAACCTCAGTTGGTGAATTCCCTTTATTGACTGGTCTGTGAGCATATCTGTGAGGCATTTGTTGAGTGATGTGGGGGCCCAGCCAGCTATGGGGGGTGCCACTCCAGGGCTAGTGATAAGGGGAAGAAAGCTGAGCACAGGCCAGAGGAGCGGGCCAGTCAGCAGTGTTCCTACTGGTCTCTGCTTTAGTTCCTGCCTCCAGGTTCCTGCTTTGAGTTCCTGCCTGGCTTCCCTCAGTGATGGATTGTCATGTAAAAGAGTAATATGTGAAAAACACTTGCTTCCAAGTTGCTTTTGGTCAGCATTTTATCAAAGCAAAAAGAAACCAGACTAAGACAGAAACTGGTACTAGAGAGTGGATACTGCTGGGACAGACTTGACCATGTTGTTTTGAGAAGATTGTGGAAGTGTTTGGAGTCTTGGGCTGGAAAAGCAATTGAGTGTTCTGAGCTTAGTAAGATGTTCTGTGGGAACCTGAAAGATAATGATGAAAGATGTATAGATGATGAAGGCCTGGCTTGTGAAGATTCGGAGGGAAGAGGAAACTTATCAGGGCTCTTTGTGTGCTATATTTGAATTAAGAATTTTGGGAAGTGAAAATGGAGACAGATAAAGGGGGAAATGGAAATAACAGGAGGATTAATTCATAATAGGAATGATTAAATGGAGTGGAGAATGAGAGGGCGGGACAAAGGAGGGTGTATGGGGGTAGCTAATATTAAAGGCCTGTAGAAAAAGCCATATGGAAACATACCACTATAGAAGCTTCTTAAAGTGTGTGTATATATATATTATATATGTCATAATTATATATATATATATGATTATCATTATAAGTAATTTAACGGAGTTACTTTATAATATTGGGGGCATTGCCCCTACTAGACACCAGAGGCTTGCAAAGTAAAAGTCCAATGTCGGGGATGGACTTCTTTTGAAGCTCTTGGCCACAGATACATGGACCTTCAAACAATACTATCCATTGACCCTCCTCTTGATTACCCATCAGAACTCAATGGTAAGAACCTATTGTTGAAGACCCTACACATGAATTGTAAACAAACAAGGAGAAATCAAGCTGGTGCTGACTTCAAACTTTCATCTCTACTGGCTAGCTTTCATAGTGCTGGAAGATGCTATGCATGCTACTGGAGGAAAAATTAATCATTAACTTTACCCAACTGTGAGTTCTGTATGCTTCCACAACTAGCCTGACAGGATATGACCTCTGGTTCAATAGTTGCACGAATGTTATGGGAGTAATCAATCACCTTCTAATTGAATTTAAGGTCTGCTTCATAAAACGGAGCCCACACCTGACACTGACATCAGACCTAGGAACTTGTGGCTAAGCAGGTCACAGGAGGCTGGGTGCAGTGGTGCATGCCCTTGATCCCAGCACTTGGGAGGCAGAGGCAGGCTGATCACTGTGAGATTGAAGCCAGTTTGGTCTACATAGTGAGTTCCAGGGCAGCTGGGGCTACAGAGAGAGAGCCTGTCTCGAAAAGAAAAAAAAGAAAAGGCAGGTCATAGGCCATAGGGGAGAGCCCAGTACTATTATTCTGCTAAATATATGGAGTATTAAAGTGACTCCTGATGACTTATTGTTGTACACATAGATGAATGCATCTCTCAACTCTCACCAGAGAAAACTTCCTTATTCAGCAGATGGTGATTAACACAGAGACCCACAGAGAGGAGTAAACAGACGGCAAAGTAATTATCTTTGAAGTGGACACCTATTATCAAACTTTTGCCTCCAGAGACTCGGGGATCACTGTGGAAGAGGTAGGAGAAAGACTGTAAGAGCCAGAGGTGAGAGATGACCACAGGAGAAAGTTTTCTAGACAGCTGGTAAGTTCCTCATATGAACTCACAGCCATGGTGACAGCATACACAAGTCCCATGTAAACTCCAGCCAGACAAAATACCAGGATAGATGTCAGGTAGTGGGTAAGAAACCCCAACCCTTCCTGAGGAATTATTGAAAACTTATGGCTTCTGGGAATGAGAGTCAGTCTCTTTTCAGGGTGTGTCTCTTGGTAGGTTAACCAAGCGCCAGTAGATGGACTCACACCAAAGGGCATTTGGGGACACAAATTTGACTTTAAAAATATATATATATCATATATAATTTTCTATAATTATTTTTTTATATATATATAATATAGAGTATATGAAATTGGGTGGGGCATAGTAAGGCATATAGATAGGGGAAGAAATCTAAATAAAGTCAAAATATATTGTATGAGGTTCATAAACATTCAATAAAAAAGGAAAACAAGAATTTGTGGAAGTAAAGACATATTTTACCGGGATAATTGATGCTGGTTAGTTGAGGCTGAAAAAGGGCTGTGACTAATGAGACCAGCATCACTGAGAATAATCTGAGAAGTATTTCCTCAGGGTCAGCACACAGAAGCTGTGGTCCTTGGAGAGGGACCAAGCTTGCTCTCAAACTGGAAGCTAAACTTGAAAATGTACAAGAACCTTCCTTGTGGTACTGACTTAGGTGTCATAAAGTCTGCAGAAGGGCTGGAGAGATGGCTCAGCAGTTAAGAAAACTGGCTGTTCTTGCAGAAGGCCTGGTTTGAAATCCCAGCACCCACATGGCAGCTAACAATTGTCCGTAACTCCAGTCCCAGGGGATCCCACAGCCTCTTCTGTCCTCTGTGGGCACTACATGACATGGGTGCACTTACCTACATGCAGGCAATATGAGCATACACATTTTAAAAAAGCAGCAGAATTGAAGGGGTCATGGAGAGAATCCAAGGCTTTGCATCATGAAAGGGCAAGAGAGGCCATTGGTGAATGTGCAGCCTCAGTTGAAGACCCCAATGTAATGGAGACACCAGCACCATGGGATGACCCCCCAAGGACAGTGGCAGATGTCTAGTAGAGCTGGGCTGAGCCTTGAGATGAGCTGTGTGTTCTGTGGATTTCAGAGCAGCACAAACCTTCTGGAGTCCAGAAATCACGAGTGAATTCCAGATGTCAAACACTGAACTAAGGTGCTGGACTTTGGTTTTGCTTAAATGTGCCCTGGTTATTCCCTCTAGAAATATGTAACACAAGACAGTATGTAACATGTTTTGGATTTTGCAGGAGCCCACAGTTGAGACTTTTCCAAGAGACTTTCAACTTTTAAAGTATTTGAATTTTTTAAAGACCACAGGACTTTTAAAGTTGCAGTATATTTTATACTGTGACATTAACATTAACATGAGATCCTGGGGACAAGCAATAGGAAGAACGTGTTTGTGTGTCAAGGTGACAAGGGGTGAGTTGTGCTGATAGCTTCAGTTGTCAACTTGACACACCTGGAAAGAGGGAGCTTCAATTAAGGAATTTCCTCTATCCAATTGGTCATGTCTGTAGGGCACCTTCTTGACTGTTGACTGATATGGGAGGGACCAGAACAAGCCAGTAAGCAGCACTCTTCCAAGGTTTCTGCTTCAGTTCTTGCCCGTAGGTTCCTTCCCTGGCTCCCCTCCATGATGAACTCTAAGCTGTAAAATGAAATAAACTCCTTCTTCCCCAAGTTGCTTTTGATAGTGTTTTATCAGTAGCAGAAACAGGACTAAGGCAGGAAGTTTATATGAAATGATACCACAAAGCTTGTACAATCCCATCAGAGCTAGGGAACACACACCACTGAATAAAGGAGTGCTCTCCACAAGGTGAAGACCCTAGGATAGGAAGCCTGAGAGTGGAGCCTCAAAAGCTCCATAGATACAACTAGGATAGTGTTTGGCACAGAAGATAGATTGGATAAACATTGAAATTATGACAGAATGGGTCCATCACTCAACAAAAATTAAGGACTAGTGTTCTGGAGGTTAAAAAAAACTGCCGTTACTAAAAAGAATGCTTTTAATATTTGCTTTCTTAAAAAAAAAAAGGAGGGTGAAAAGTTCAAAAATGATCTTCAGTCTTGTCCTGAAAAGCTCTTAGTATGCTAGGCTTCAGCATGATATGTAAGCTGAATTTCTGGGCTTAACTCCTGTGGGTTTTTCAATGAGTATTTTTCAGGTGGATCTCAAAATCTGTGTGCATGCTTCAAATTTCCAGTGAGCAGTCTTATGCAGCTGGTTCAAGAAACTGCTGGTGACCGCACATGAAGACTCAGAACCAGGCTGCCTCATTTTTAAGTTTTGAGAAGATGTATTCATTATCTCAATTTAGTTTTGTTTATATGTATAAGCATCTCAGAATTCTAGCACAGCAAAGACAGACCTTTCCACTGAGGAGTGCGGCTATGTAGGACACTTCAGCAAGGCTGGCCCACTCTGAATAAGCAGCCTCTGTGCGTGTGTGTGTGTGTGTGTCCTCATGTGCGTGCAGTTGCATGAGTGTGTACAAGTGCACGAGTGTGTGCATGTGGAGGCTGGAAGTCAACCCCAATATCATTCCTTAAGCACTTGGTTATGTTTGTGTGTGTGGGTGTGTGTCTACATGAGTGTATGCACATGTATGTGTCTGCATAAGTGTATGCACATGTATGATGTCAGAGGAGGGCATCAGATCCCTCAGAGAGCTGGAGTTACCAGTGTTTTCAGGATACCCAGTTTATTATGTAGGTGCTGGAAGCCAAAGCTCAGTCCTCATGACTGTACCGCAAGTGCTCTTAACTTCTGACCCATCTCTCCAGGAAACCCCCTGCTCCTGTCCTGCGTACTCTGTGTGTGCGTGCGTGCATGCGTGTGTGTGTGTGTGTGTACACCCTGGCTTCTGATACAAGGTCTTTCAGTTACCTGGAGCTCACCAAACAGGCTAGGCTGCCCAGCTAGGAGCCCCAGGGACCTTCTGTCTCCACCCCTCAGCACTGGGATGATGAGTGAACCATCACATGCAGTCTTCTATGTTGGTCCTGGAGATGCAACTCAGGTTCTCAGCTCATCAGCAGGCATTTTACTGACTGAGCCCTCTCCTCATTTGCACATTGCTTTGAGAGCTCTTGAGAGAAGACTCCTAGGGCAACTTTTCCACACTGATGGGGGAAATTTATGAAATTAAATTAAATGGCACAGATGATATTGCCTAAAACCATTACACAAGCATTAGTTGACACAAATTCCTCTACTAAGACCTGGAGTTACCATCAATTGCTTCTGAATTTCTGTTTCTAGAGAAACAGTTGTCTGAATCACAGATTTGGCCCAAACAGAGTATATCTCTGCTAAACAGGGCACAGAGGTGAGATTGTTTTCAGGTTAATTCTGTTACTACCATACTTACATGTGGTTGGTAATATTTTTAAAAAGGAAGCAGGGCCAGAGAGGGATTCACTAGGCACAAATCACAGCCTCACAAGCCTGATATGTAAGTTTCATATTGAGAACCCATGCAAAAAGCTAGATGCGGTGGTGAAATTCTGTGACCCCAGCACTCCTGAGTCAAGGTGGGACCAGAAATAGGAGAATCACCTGAGAGCTCTCGGGTCAGCTGGCTGACATACACAGCAGTAGAGGTCCGCCTCAACAAGGTGACATCAAACTGGAAATGACTCTGGAAAGTTGTCCTTTGACCTCCACACAGGTGCTGTGGCAAGCACACACCTGCACTCACATATACATCATACATACACACTCACACACACAATAAATAAATGACGTAGACTTTTGAAAAGAAGCCAACAGACATGCATGCTCAAAATATAAAAACAGGTGACACAGATAAGATGAAGGATAGTATGTCAGGTTCTCTCCAACACAAGAGCTAAGCACACAGTAAAACGGACATACACATTAAATACTGGGGGCAAGAGTGTGAGACTTAAATGTGTGCCTAAAATTGCTTATCTCAACAGCATTCATTAGTGAGAATACTTGTGTAAAAACGAAGGGGATTTTACTAAAAACCCACTTAAGAAAGCCAAAATTGACTTCTTCAGGATATCATATGTGATTTCCAGTAGAAGATAAATTTTCATGACAAGTTATAAACCTTGAAAACGTGTTTTTTAAAAATTTAAGTGGCTATATGCCCCTGTAATTTTACCTACAATTTCTTACACTGAGGGACCACTGCCTTTTATCACAGGTTTATTAAGTTTTACAGCATGTGAGTGTGCCATGTGAGGTAGAGCCTCACATTTTCATTTCCTTCTACCATAAATGAGAAAAAACGCATTCTAGTACTTACTTTTCTCCATAAAATCTCTCAAAGAATTTTTCTTTCCAAGGTTCTGTCTTCTTTTCCTTCTCAATTTCTTGCCTTATTCGTAATTGCATTTCTGGGGTAAACTCTCCTAGAAAGAAATTGGCAATACATTGAATTAAAACAGCCATATCTCCTGCCAATTAATAAAGACAACACATAATTCACTTGAGTAAACTTCTGTGGATGTGACCAAGTGAAAGGATGAGCTAATGGTCCCATTTCTAATCCTGCCCATTTTATGAACATCATTCAAATAGTCATTTCACGTTAGACCAACTCTGAAACGTTTGACCAACATACTGCATGTGCAGAAGAAAGTGCACATATTCACTGTCCTGAAGAAAATCAGTCTGATGGGAGTACAAGGCACATAACTGACCATGAAATCATGTCAAAGTCCTGCGCAGGCCAGGAGAATAATGTATGCATTGAGAGTAGAGATAGGAAAGCACTTAATTCTGCCTAAGTCAATTACAGAGGATTACATTCAGGAGTTGATTCTTCAGATAGCTTTAAAAGGTGATCATACGAATGATTAAATCACAAGGCACAGAGATATGAATACGCATATTTATGTTCTTTGAGTGGCTGATTGTGAGCAGAACACAGGATGAAATGAAATAAAAGACTGAGACCAATTAGACAATGTGTGTCCTAAAAAGAAATCAGCTTTTCCTACAAGAGGCAGGAGCTCCTGATGCCATTCCATGAAGGAGGAACATGGTCCATTAACTAATAAGAAAGACAGGTGAGAAGAAGGTGAAGCAATCGCAGGACCCAATGGCTGAACGAATGGAAAGAGACGTAGGTCACAGCCTGCCGCAGTGCCACGCCAACAGGTGTAAGGTTAATGAATAGACCACGGCTGGGTGCTCTGAAAGTTTTAAAGTGGGGAGACAGGAGGATGATGATTGCAGTTCAGAGAGTGCAGGGGGGTGCAGTCGTGCAAGGGCAAAGGATATATTTCGCACCACGCATTTTGGTTTTAAGGTGCGTCAAACCAGCTAGTCAATTTGGGCTAGTCTGAACCATTTGGGCAAAGATACCAGGGATGATGAGAAGGGAACAGGAGTCAGGACCGGAAGTTCTTGGCTTATGGGTAATAGTGAAAAACCAAGGTGGGAGACTGCTGCTTAGAGAAAATGTACGGGTTGGAAAAGAAGACTTTGGAGACATCATTTGAAGCTGAGAAAGGGTTGGCAGAATAAAGACCCGGGAAGCTATTTAAAACACTGTGGATGCCTAAGGTGAGTTGTTTAATATGAGAAGGTAAAATATGCAGAGGGGACTAAGGACAGGGCTGAGGGGGGAGAGCACCGGCTGCTCCTGCAGAGGACCTGGGTTCATTCCCAGCACTCAAAACGCTCATGCCCATAAAATGAAAATAAATTAGATATGTTAATGCAAAGAAAGGGAAATCAAATGTGATGCTGAGAAGGAAGCTGACGTGAGGACTGAGAAGTCAATTTTGCTATTATGACAAAGACAAATAAAAAAGGAAAAAATAAGAAAAAAAATAAATAAGCATCTGCACTCTTTAACAGGAGCTCAGGGGTCCACACTGGAGCCAGTAACTGGGGAAGTGAAGAACAGAATTTTGTCACATTGGAGTTTATTTGGTCTTTCCAAAAGTCTGAGTTAAGATTAAATAGCAATAATAAAGGATAAATTAGTAAGCAAGCTTCAGGGCAAAGGAGTAGTACAAGTTTCCTTAGAATCTTGGACATTTAGCTTAATAGGACAAACTACATAAATAAAATGATCACTTTAAGGAAATCATATTATATATCAAAAATTTCTGTGCACCAGATATACCATGGATTCTTCAAAAATGACATAAAAATGTTCAGTATAACAAATGAATTAGTGAAATCTCTTAGAGAGGGTGTGAATTGTTACTGAGTGAAAATGTATTTCAGGGAGGAGGGGTGAAGACATGGAAATCAGAGAAAATAAAAATCTTGGTACAGTGTGTGTGCTCCACTAGACTATGTGGACTTTGGCAGGGTGTGTGAATTCTTGTACACTACATGTAATCCAGGAGGTTACATGCAGTCTAGTATGGCATGTTTACCCTAGTAGAGCATGTGTGATTCAGTAGGGTATGTATGTGCAGTCTTACATAGTATGTATACTCCAGTGGTGAAGGTGTGTCTACTCCAGTGCGTGTACTCTAGCATGGTGTGTGTACTCTAGAAGTACATGTACTCTAGTAGAATGCATGTACATGTACTCCAGAGTGCCACATAATAACAGAAAACTGAAATTTACCTTCTGCCAGTCGCTGTTTCCACCCTTGCGCTGCGTATGCAAAGAATTCATTGTTCAGAGCTGAAGTACTGAGACGTAAAATTCCATCACTTCCCATCTAGGAAATAAGTCGACAAAGCGTTCCATCAGAGATAATTCAAAGGAGAGATACAGAAAAGAAGCAAAACAGTGTTATTAAGGGGGGTGGCGATGGTGGTGTTGGTAGTGTGGTGGGGTGTGTGTGTGTGTGTGTGTGTGTGTGTGGTGTGTGGTGTGTGTGTGGTGTGTGTATGTGACCAGCAGATGGTGGCTCAGTGTGAGGCCTTGGCAGGTATGTGCTTGTGTGTGTGTGTGTGATGAGTGATGTGTGATGTGTATGTAGTGTATGTGTATGTGTGTGGTGAGTGATGTGTGCGGTATATGACACGTGTGTATATGGTGTATATGTGGGTGATATGTGGTGTGTGTGTGGTGTATGGTGTGTGTGGTGTGTGTGTGGTGTGTGTATGGTGTGTGGTGTATGTGGTATGTATGTGGTGTGTGTGTATGTGTGTGGTGTGTGTGGTGTGTGCATGTGTGGTGTGTATGTGTGGTGTGTGTGTGATGTGTGTGTGGTGTGTGTGTATGTGTGTGGTATATGTGTGTGTATCTGTGTGTAGTGTATGTGTGTGGTGCGTGTGTGTGGTACAGTGTGTGTGTGTGGTGTGTGTGTGGTGTGTGGTGTGTGTGTGGTGTGTGGTGTGTGTGTATGTGTGTTGGTGTGTGGTGTGTGTGTGCAGTGTGTGTGGTGTGTGTGGTGTGTGTGTGTGGTGTGTGTGGTATGTATGTGTGTATATGTGTGTGGTATGTGGTGTGTGTGTGTGGTTGGTGTGTGTGGTGTGTGGTGTGTGTGGTGTGTGGTGTGTGTGGTGTGTGTGGTGTGTGTGGTGTGTGGTGTGTGTGGTGTGTGTGTGTGGTGTGTGTGGTATGTGTGGTGTGTGTGTGGTGTGTAGGTAAAAGAAGGACCACAGAAGACAAAGCGATGAAACAATGTCTAAGACGAAGCCTAGGAATGAAGAGGGGTGAGGCGGAGGCGGTGGGATCCACTGGTGAACGTGAGTCGTGAAAGCTGATGCAAAAGGTGGACTTGGTGTAGTGTCAAGAGCATCCATAAAGGACCAGGCATATACAGAAGACCTACCAAGTACCCATTAAGTTGTGTGTGTGTGTGTGTGTGTGTGTGTGTGTGTGTGTGTGTATACAGGCCATGGTGTGGATGTGGAGATCAGAAGGCAACTTGGGTGAGTCGGCTCTCTCCTTCCACCACGTGGGTCCCAGAGATCAAATTCAGGGCACTGACAAAGGCAGCAAGTGCCCTCACCTGCTGAGTCATCTCACCAGCCCACACTTATCCCCACGCAGTATGATCCTCTCCACATTCTATCTGCAGCCATCAAAATGCTAACCATCTTTAAGATTCAATGTAACACCTCCATGAATTCACCAGATAAACTCATTCAAGAGCAAAGGGAAGTAAGATTCAAAGGTACACATGTTACACTATCTGTCCTAGACTGAACCATGGCCAATGCAACTCAGAGAAGACACACTAGGAACATACATAAGAGGGGTGGTCACTGGCATGATGGCAAAGATTAGGATACCACAGATTTGAAATCCTTTGCCTCTTCACTGAGGAAGAAGCTTACAGCTGCACTAAAATATTCAATACATTTGGCAAATTGTGGGTGAGAGTATATTCATTCAGTGTTTACTGTTTTCACCATTATTTAACAGAAACTAATTAGGTCCCCTCTGGGAACTATCCTGTGAATGTATCTGGTCCTTGTATGGGAGCTAGCCACAGGAAACAAAGCCCTCTCCTGTGTTCTTGGTATCTCCTACATGGAACAAATGCTCTGTGGTTCCTCTACATCCCTTCCATCTATCTGGGTTCGTTGTGGCTGGGATGGTCACCACTGACTCACAACAGAATCTAAAACCACCAAGACGACAAACCTCTCAGCATGTCTGTGAAGGAGTCTCTAGACTGGGCTAAAGAAGATGCACAGACCCACCCGAACTATGCCTGATACCACTCCGTGGGCTGAGGTCCTGAATGCAAGGTATTCCTCTTCCTCTGCTTCCTGAGTGCGGATGCACTAAGGACAGCTGCCTCATGTTCCCACAATGCCTCCAGTACCACAAAGGGCTGCACTCAAACTGTGAGTCGAAATTAAGCTTTCCTTCCATAAATTACTTCTTGCCGGGTAGTTGGTTGTAGCAGCAATAGAAAGTGATGTCGTGATATGATACAGATTTACATTATCATGACTAAAGTCCTATCTCATGATGGGATGATGTTCCACCCACTCCATCTTCTGACTGAATATATCTAGAACACCGTTTTATTAATGTGGTCTATCCACTGGACCAACAGGTGCTATCTGGTGATGAGTTACCGGTGGCTACAACATGCATCTGAGAGCTAAGGTGTAGAATGAATCTTCCTATCATTTCCCAGGACCCATTTGCTTGCTGTGTGCATCCTGTCCTCCCAGCTCTAAATTCAATGAGATCCGAAGTCCATGTTCCCTGGAAGGAATCACCTCTACCAGGGTATATTATTCATTTCTCACTACTGTCATTGAGGACAGATGCACATCCTGTGTGCTCTAAGATAATTAACATCCCTGTCCCACAAGATGCCAGGAGCATCACCTTGGTAAAATGTAACACTTAAAAATGTCTCCAAATATTGCCCAATATAGTTTGGAGGAAAAATCCTTCCCAGATTGGAAATGTGTCACTAGTGGAAAAAGTGATGACTTAAGGGATCTACTGTAGCTAAGCTTCATCTGGTTGCCTTGTACCTCTCCTGTGGTGAGACCACAAGGCAAAGAGGAGTTGCTGCACAACTGGGACAATCATGCTCACCCATCGTTAGAAAATGGGATCGCTGCCATGCAGTGGGGTAGACAAGATGAAGCTAGGAACACAGGGCATTCATTGGTACATTGCTTGGTGTTTCCAAACTAGGATCACTAGGATAATAGCAAGATGGCCCTGGGCTCAGATTCAGCAGGGATGCTGTGTGGGGCCTGCAGCCTGTGGATAACTCACCACTGAGCCTTATTCTTCCTTTGCTCTCCCCTTCCTTCCATTCATTATTTTCTTCCCTTCTTCCTGCCTTTCTTCAAGAGTTGGTGACAACGTAGCAAGATCTGAGTAGTACCAGGGGAAGAGTAGAGCCTCTCTGGTGAAGCTCCACCCTGTGTCTCACAGCCCATAACGAATCAATGCCATGGTCCACCCAAGTTCTTGAAGTTCCAGTTATTTCCTCTGAAGCCCAGAGGTCTTCAAGGAACCCCGCAGAAACTCTGCAAAATGCAGGCTCTGGACATGGGCACAACTCAGAATTCATGGATAACAAGAGTAGGAGAAAGGGCCCTGCTCTGCTTTTGTATTGTGGGGAAAAACCTGTGGCTCCTTCCAACACTTTTTTCTGAAGGTCCCTTGGTAATTGCAGTTGTCTAGAGAACCTCTCTTCTCTCTTCTCTTTTCTCTCTCTCTCTTCTCCCTCTTCTTCTCCCTCCCTCCCTCCCCTTCCTCTCTTTCTCCCTCCTCTCCTCCCCTCTCCATGCTGCACTCCACCCTTCTCTCTACCTCTCCCTCTCCCTCTCTCCCTCTCTCTCTGTCCCTCACAGGACTCTCATGCATCTGTGTTTTAGGAAGAAATGTACCAGGGAAGATCCTAACAAAGTCACATAAGTCAGAGCGTGTCCTTTATCCTCTACATGGGACTGACACACATGCACCTGAAAAAACACGAGGCTCCGCGTTAGTGCTCCCTGGTCTGTGTTTCTCCTTCAATTTACCTCCACTTTTTATGCCTTTTACAGCACGAGCCATAGTCAGGGGGAATCTGTGATGCCTCATTTTAGTTAACAGAAACATCTCCAAAATGCCGATGCCTCAGAAAAGCCTAAAAAGATCTATATCTACAGAGACTACTTTAGGAGTCACATAGGATGGGAAAGATGGGGACAATTGATACAGGTACTGCACTAAAGATGGTATTGGAATGGTTCCAGCCGAACATGGTAAGAGGAGATCTTGAAGGTACTTGGGTGGGTGAAGGTCTTCGGGATCAAGGAGGTAAAGGCACTGGGGGAATAGCTCAAGAAACACTCTTCAAAATCTCTCCATCAGGACGGGATAAAAAAGATGGCTGTCCTTGACAAATCTTCAAGAAACACTATCATGTATATCTAGGAAACACAGTGAGGATGAGATTAAGATGGTCATCTGAGAGTACCTCTGAACCTGAACTTTTTCTGTGGATAGATGCTGAATGTGGCTCTTTGTGGCTCAGGAACCATAGGAGAAAAGCTAATCCACTGAGACAGATTAAGATGGAAGAGGTGGCCTTACTGCACAGATGGGTTTAAATAAAGATTAGTTGGAACGGGACATGTTCTCTGCAAAGGCAAAGGAACCTGTGTCCTGTGGAGTACGTCTGTAGAAAGCACAGTGGAAAGGGTTCCAAGTACTCTGCGTGTGATGACACACAGGATGTTTAACGCATCCTCTATAGCCCATGCAGTAGCTCAGGCCTAGTCCACAATGGCTTATTTGCTACCCTTATTTTGGGTAGTGGAAGTTTTGAGATGTAACTCTAGTAGCTGATATACAGAAGTTTTGTTTCATGTACCTGCCAGGCTGGGGGTTTAATTACTCATTACAATTTTAGCATAATTTTAAGTCACAGAGAAACACCAGGTCCAGATCAGCTATGACAGATTCTCAAGGTTTGAGCACATGAAAGTGTGTGATATAAACACAACCCACAATATGGACTCTAGCCCCAGAGGGAAATCACTTTCCTTTAAAACAGAAGTACTATGAAGAGTAAAGTTCTCAGTCTATGCGAGACTGCACAATTAAACACCAAGGCTAAATTAGACTTGGGAAATACATGCCAATCAACTTTTAAAGTACACTATTAATTTTATGGCCTTTAAGAAATACTGTCTAAAAGATATAACATTTTAATGTACTGGAACAATAAACATTTCTGAAAGGTTAGTTATTTATTGCTGGGCTATAAATTCTGGTATTTTTCATTAGCCACAATAG